AAATAACATTTTTTAATAGCATTAATAATATAAATATACAAATTATTTTTGCCACAGCATAGGCGTTGACGTCACGGCGGCCATGTTGCACGGGGACTTGAAGGAACAACGGTAGCCATGTTGCATCGGGATTGTTTTTTTGCATCTGATTGGCTGGTGTAGCAGGAATGATCAAGTAACCCCTTGCAACCACTGACGAGAATCTTTGTGAAGTTACACACACAGATATTCTGTGTTTTGCACTATACACTTGCAGAGTGCACGCATATCAATGTCTCGCAGGATTTACGCAGTTTTTTCCGTACCCACCCCACAGATCTTCGCACGGTTAGCCTTCATAAAATATTTCTTCTCATTAATCTTGACACATCAGAAGTTTCATGACTCCCTTGTAACAGTCATACTACACGCTCGTCATTTGAACTGTGCAGCCCAGTTTCTTTTTCAGTAAAATTAATAATGGACGGACACTGTCAAATGGACTTGCTTAATTTATATATCCGACTTTCGCATATCCACCCTGACCAATTAACCAGCCACCCCCAGTGTAGGCCTCTCTGCATGGTGTTAATAGTCACTTTGTATAGATAATCACAAATGTGAACTTTTCACACAGGTCATGTGGTCATGTACACTCGCTCATTTCTAAAGGGCAGTAATGCGTTTCCCCAAGTTTATCGCAGTTTGTAATGTACAGATTTTGATGTCGAGTAACATCTTCTTACTCTTATGTTTTTTTGGTAAAGTCACGTAGGTAAAAAATTTAAATTAATAAAAGTAAAATAAAACAAATTTAAAATTCACGACGTTTCGGAAGCAACACAAGCCTCCGTCTTCAGGTGAAACCGTCACAGCCACGACAGCTGTATCAAGTAAATGAGAGATCACAAGAAATACTACCCCGTATATATAATGGTTGAGGGGGGAAGGGCCAGGAACGGCACACTTTTTTATTAATATGGTAAGGTGAGGCTTAAGACCAAGAGTAGACTGCATAACAAAGGACTGAGCCTTTGTTATGGAGAGGTGCGGTTTGTAACTAACACATGGCATACATAACAAAAGTGTGAAAAAATAAAAGCAAGTAAAAACTAAAACTGGTAAAACAACAAACTGGCTGTCTATCAATAACCTGTAATAGTTGTCTGTTAAATAAGATGGTCCAAATAAGTGTAGTTACATCTTTTTTGCATGGTTAATCACATCTTTCCAATGATTACTCAGTTTGTAACCCTCATCACGGTTGAAATTATGTCTGTGTTTGTATATTTGTATGGCTTCATGTACAAACCTTTGATGGTAGCCAGGAGGTTTGCAGAGCACCTTGGTCTCGGAAAAGACAATTTCATGAGAGCCCACAAATTGTCTTTTCCGAGACCAAGGTGCTCTGCAAACCTCCTGGCTACAATCAAAGGTTTGTACACGAAGCCATACAGATATACAAACACAGACATAATTTCAACCGTGATGAGGGTTACAAACTGAGTAATCATTGGAAAGATGTGATTAACCATGCAAAAAAGATGTAACTACACTTATTTGGACCATTGCGTTATATGTCAGCAACGAAATATGTCAATGGAAGAGTGGTAGTAGGAGACTTGCCGCGGAGCAAAGAATCCATTCCCTGCGGAGAATACAAGATATATAGTCATGCCAGTGAGTGGACTGCGGTCTGAAAGTCACCGTAAACGTGAACACAATCAGTTAAGATCCGAAATGGTTTATTACGTACTTCCAAAGATTGCTGAGCCATAATCCATCTTCTCGGTTGAAATTGTCTCTGTGTTTGTATATGTGGATCGCCTCATGAATGAATCTCTCATGGTAGCCAGATGTCTTGCAGAGAACCTCTGTCTTGGAGAAGACTTTACCGAAAGAACTAAGAAGATGAATCGCTGCAGTCACGAAAGCTTTAAATCGAAATTAAGTCGAGTAACATATTTGTACATGGTGTAACTATTACTCGTTTTGTATATATATTTAGTTGTTCGGATATCGGACCTTTTCACATTTCCGCCAAAACCCCAGTCGCCAGCAAGAGGAATATGCGACGTTGTACCGTACTTCCGTCTACAGCCACTTCTGTAGAGGTGGAAGGCTTTGCTCACCTGATCATTGGTGTTCTGCCATCCCTACTTCCAGGGTATCAGATGACAGGCGATGTGCCACCACACCTGGCCATTATGGGAGGATTATCCCATGGAGGCTTGGAACCCCAGTTACGTGAAGCGTTGATCCGGGGCTCATGACTGTAGATCCAGTTAGGGTTTCCACCTGTCAGGGTTTGATCTGTGCAAGTCCTGCAATCTGCCTCTGTGCTCAGGTTACATGAATAGTGTTTCAACCAAGGTCTGGTACCGGCATCGCTGTTTTATGCAGAGGGGGCACAGTGTTGATGATATAGACTGAGAAATGAAACGTGTTTAGTCTACAGCGCAAAACGTGGCGATTCTACTAGATAACGTGTTCACCATTCAAGCACCGGTAGCGAACTTAACTGCTTCGTGCTTCGTGGCAACTGTGGTGGACTGCTCTGATTTCTATCAGTGTTCTGATTTACATCACTGCTATGATTTACATCACTTTCTATGATTTATATCACTGCTATGATTTCTGTCACTGCTATGATTTATATTACTGCTATGATTTCTATCACTGCTCTGATTTATATCACTGCTATGATTTATATTACTGCAATGATTTATATTACTGCAATTATTTATATCATTGCTATGATTTACATCACTGCAATGATTCATATCACTGCTATAATTTACATCACTTTCTATGATTTACATCACTGCTATAATTTACATCACTTTCTATGATTTATATCACTGCTATGATTTCTGTCACTGCTATGATTTATATTACTGCTATGATTTCTATCACTGCTCTGATTTCTATCACTGCTCTGATTTATATCACTGCTATGATTTCTATCACTGCTATGATTTATATCACTGCTCTGATTTCTATCACTGCTCTGATTTATATCACTGCTATTATTTACATCACTGCAATGATTCATATCACTGTTATGATTTATATCACTGCAATGATTCATATCACTGTTATGATTTATATCACTGCAATGATTCATATCACTGTTATGCCATTACATTGCACATTTTTAACACAAGGGGAAGGATTCATTTAGCTCAGAAACACAATTTTAACCAAATGTGGTATTTCTTTTAATAACGCATGCATGAGAAAATTACATTGATTAAAAATACAGCATTCGTTTCAGGTTACCATTGCAAAACATTTGATGGAGATGTTTATTCCAGGATAAAACAGCATGTCAACAGTGCGATTGGAAAAACAAAATCACGACATTGCACGGACAAGCATTGTTTGCATTCTCAGCAGACAGAGCCAGCTCAGCGTCTTAGCAAGATGTTTCAAAATGCATTCATTAATCCACACGCGGGAGCAACCGATGAAGCGACATTCCATTCGAAGACCTGACAAAGTGAGTCCAACCCACAAGGGGACGGATCGAATAGCCCAAGAGACAGATTGAACTTCCACAGAATAATATGGGCTAAGGCATTAGCTTAGAGAGAGAAAGAGAGAGGTCTTATGTTACCAAGGCTAGCAATGAAGGATGATTGTGAAAGGCTAAAACACGTGTAATGACAATGGAGCCTGCATGCAGTGTGAGGGGACTGGTGGCCACGGAAGGTAGTGACAAGGGTGTCAGTTGTGAGTGTTAAGGGACTGGTGGCTACGGGAATGTTCTAGAAGGGAGCGTAGTCAGGTGACGGAAGGGAATGGCAACGTCTGCCGGTGGAGTGAGTGTCCAGAGTCAGGGGGGCGTGGCCTCGTGATGCTATATAAGGGTCTGTTGAAGTGGGTTTTCCACCTGATGTCAAGTGAACGTGTCTTCAACAAAGTGCCATCTCAAGAGAAGTGTGTCAAGTCGTCACATGTATAAACTAGCTATCTCAGATTCGAACTCTTTAAGTGCTGCGTTATTTGATCGCGTGCCAAGATTACACCGTTACGCCTCGAACTTGCATAGGACGCTGTCTGCTTGCTATGTGCCTGAAGTTGTGCTGCGCTTTGCGCGGTGTTGGGCAGGGCCACAGCCGCACTGTGGAAGTTCGGGGAGTCTCACGAGCGAGTGGTTCCCCGCGATTCTGGGATAAATCGCCGATAGCAGCCGCGATGTTCGCCCCACGATTTCGTCACGGACACAACTGGTTTCACAAAACCATAATTACATTGATGATCAGAATCATAACGTTTGCTTGTACTGGAGGAATCCGATGAGCTTTAAAGTGATTTATCACAGATGTCCAGTGGTTTCACAGATGCTCATTAGAGGCTCGCGGAGCCAGATTAAAGCACCTACCTCGAGGTAATAGAATATTCAAATAAGTAAAAGCAGCTCCTCCAGAAGAATAAGTGCAATATATATATCGGTATGCGCCACGATGAATATTGATCAGAATCAGAATATGTATTTACATTGGAGGAATCCGATGAGCTATAAAGCTCTTTTTTACAGATGTCCAGTAGGGGCGGGTAAGAACGTTACAACAAACAATACAAAAACATAACAGTCATTGAAAGTACAAGAAAGGTAAAAATGAAATCACCCAAACACACACAAATTAAACTCAACCATCCCCATACTACCAGACAAAGCCCCCACTGTGATATTAACTTGTGTTTCAGAAGCAACCTGGCCACAAATGATAGCTCAACAGAGTGGCCCGTCATTTGGACATTTATAGCACCTACTGACTCTCACTGCCTGCTATCCGTGCACTACTGCGCATTTAAAGGTACCACCATCAGCACAACCAGCATTTATGTCACCTGCACGACTGGAGAAAAGCGCAGCTCGAAAAAAAAAAGCCAGGAATTTTTTCGCCCAAACTATTTCGGGTGCCTCTGAGCCACGAGGACCCGTTGAGAGGACGTGTAACGCTGTGGGACAGGTTGAATGTGAGACTTTTTGTCGCTCGCAAGTGAATGACCACTCACTTCACGATCGCACACACTCTGCGAGGCCTCGAGTCGCGAAGGCCACTCGGGAACATTTTCCGAAGCAAAGTCGCCGCCTCCTTCCTGAGCGCTCGGGTTCTGAAGAAGTAAATGCCGACGTTCGCGATCGGGATGAAGAAGGTCGCGAACTGCGAGGCGCAGCGGATGTTCCTCGCGCGTGCGTTCGGCTCGTTCCTCACCAACCTGGGGACGAGAATGGAGACGAAGAGCGTGGTGAAGAAGACCGTGAGCAAGAAGGAGTGCGTGAGCAGCGTGTGCGTCGCCTTCCTCTTGAACCCGCTCGCCTGCGTCCTCTTGCACTCCAGAAGGATCTTGCAGTACGTGACGCTGATGACGCACAGCGGCAACACAAAGAGCAGCGCGACCATGCCTGAGCTGTACGCTTCTGGGACGCTCGTGTCGTCGGCGGAGAGACGAATGAATCCCATGTAGTCGCAGAAAATGCCCGGCATTTGCCGATCGTTGTCCTTCAGCGTGAGCGGCACGACGAGGATCGTGAGCGGCACGAGCAGCGCCGCCGTGAAGCTCCACGCGGCCACTACGACGAGCAGCGTCCGTCTGGCGGTCACGATGGCGTGGTAGTGCAGCGGGTGGCAGATGGCCACGTAGCGGTCGACGGACATGACGGTGAGCGTGACGCACTCGGTGCAAATGAACACGTTCATACAAAACATCTGCGCGACGCAGGACGCGCGCGACACCTCGTTGTCGCCCGTGAGGAAGATGTGCAGTTGCTTGGGCAAAATGACCGTGCAGCCGATGAGGTCGCCCAAAACGAGGTTGCACATGAACGCGTACATGGGCTTGTGCAGCTCCCTCTGCACGGCCACTGTGCCGAGCACCAGCAGGTTGGACAGCGCCGTGACGACGAATAGCGGCAGGCACAGGCCGAACGCGAGCAGCTGCACGCCGTACGGAGCTTCGAGTGTTCCGAGGAGGATGAAGGATTTGTTGCCTTCCATGGTCGCCTTCAGCTGTGGGGAGCAAACAGAGGCACGCATTGCACCCCCGCGCTCGTCGTAACTGCGCACTTGATTGTAATGTGCGAGACAAGGGCTCACATTTCATTTTAAAGAGTATAACCCAACCTCTTATGTGCACTGCACTCAACACAAATGCAAGACGTGCGAACAACCACGTCAGATATATCTCGAGTGAAATTGGGCAGAGTGAATAAATACAGACAAGCATCATCTGCGCACAGCCTGTAATGCACACTGCCTGCCGAGACGGATACAGCAGCCTGTGTTAAATCCAACCGGTTGTGCATTGCATGGCCGGATCACAAAACAAAATATAAAGATGCCCCCCTATAGCCTTTAATATACTGTTGGGGCAAGTGATGTTAGCGCGCACGGCACAAGAGGTGGTGGGTGGCCAGCACTACGCCCGGCCGCCTGTGTCTCCCTAGTGGCGATGTTTACACACCACACCAGGCAATCATTTGAGGCTGAGTCGACCTAGGGCAGGCCCAGAAAAGATTCCGATAATCGTCACTGGCGCTTTTGGCCGTAAGCGAGAATCGAACTCGGGTCGCCGAGTTCGAAGCGCAGCGCGCGAACTTGTGCACGACTGTTACAGGTCACACACACTGGAAATGCTGTTTTGCATGAGTGTATGCACTGGCTCTCGTAGCAATGCAGTGCTCACTGTATTCACTAATTATACGTTTGGTTATGCAGTGTTAATGTACAGAGATGGGTGCATTTTTATTTATAAATGAAAGCTTTATTGGTTGGCGACACGTTAAAATGTTACGTCTCATTTAACACCTTCCATTCCACTAGATTCCACTTGACTTACATGTGTACTGACACTCATGATGAAAGACTTAAAGTTAACGTAGCATTGCTTTTGAATGTCCTTCCAAGCACAAACGTAGGTTTGTTTTGTTGAGGTTGTGAGCAAGCTGGCCAGGGCTGGGCGAGAACTTAGAGACTCAGCACCGCCAATACTCAGCCAAGCAACAGAGGACACTTTTCTCAGATTATTTATTGACATCACTAGAACAACACTTGCAACAGATTTAAGAATGCACAATTAAATACTGTATATGCAGTACGTGTAAAATTAAGGATTGAAATAAAATAAAAACTAAAAACTATTAAACTTAAAATACTCTGCCTCGTATTTTACCAGCAGCATGATTTTACTCGAAGGTTCATCTGGCCTCCATTTGGCTCTCAACGGGCAATATGAAGGTGACTGTGGCACAGATATTGACACCTTACCTGGCAGCGAGGGTTCTTCGCTGTGGTGGGTTCTGCGCGGGCTGCATATTTATACACCTCCGAGCATCACGTGGTCACCCCATCTAACGGCTTGCCGCTCATGGAATTCTTAATTGACCCCGCCGCATCAAGGTATTTAATTTCCCCTAACAGCTCCCCCACACCGAACATGCTTTTTGGTGAAGGGCAATTTAATTGCTTCACTCAGACTTGTGCTAAGCGTCCCTTGAGGTAGCCGGTTTGCCGTCAGTGCACTCACCCTGAATGCCACCGACTCTGTATATCCGTCACGTGGTGGGGAGCGATGTCGCTGTGGTTAGTGCGCTGCGCCACGAACCCGGCGGGCCCGAGTTCAACTCCCGCCCACGGCCAAAAAGAGTGGCGAAATATTCGTGACCGGTCCTGTGTCTCCGCTTGGTCGATTGAGCCTGAAACGAGAACCCGGCGTGGTGTGTAATATCAACACTGCGGAGACAAAGGTGGCTGGGTGTGGTGTTTTCCACCCACACTATCGTGCGCCGTGGCTACGTGGGCTGACGTCCACTCAGAGGACTGTAGTTGCGCAGTCCTGGATAACAGAATGCCACGGTGGCGGGATGTTAACTACCTCGCCTGGCATGAAGGGGGTGGGGGGGGAAATGAGGACTAAAAAAATACCATGATTTTTGTCCAAGTTTCTGTGGGTGTCTCTCTGCCCTATCGCTAACGATATATTGGGGGGTTCTGACCACCCGTGGCACCCACGGTGGCTGTACCTTCGCTGTCTACACTAATCCCCTTGTCTTGACCCCTGTGAGCGGCCGCGGTGGCGAGATGTTTACTACCTCGCCTGGTATACAGGGGATTGTGGGTTCGATCCCGACCCTGACGCCTGTTTATTTGGAGTTTGGATGCCCTTCTCGTGTTAGCGTGGAATTTTTCTGCGGGTCCTCCGGTTTGTCCCTCCACATTTGGCTGCTATAAATGTCCACGCGATAACAAGCCACTTCATTGAAATGAAACGACGACGATGAGGAGGAGGAGCACAGATGAGAAAGCCCTGATGTACGTGCAGTTAGGTGCAGATGTGGCTGCACCACAAGTCGGGGGTGGGGTCCGAGCTGCAGCACACACGTCGCACCCTTTATTTTCCTCCTGGTACACCTGCACGCGCGTGCGTATCAGACAGATTACAGCCCGATTTGGTGTCGGTGGGGATTGTGCCACGGACACCAACACGCCGGTGGAATTCTCGTCAAGCTGTCCCTAGCTTTGGAAGCCTTTGTGGAATGGACTCGTGCCCCGGGCCATCCACTATCGCTCCTTTATCGCTGGCACATCTTCGTGGCATGGGATTTTTTCCACTGGTCATTTGCCGATCCGAGCCAGAACCAACCCGTTATACGCTGGCCTCACAAAACATTAAAATCTGGCTCGGGGTCAAGCAGGGCCAAGGGTGGGGCTAACGGCGCTTTCATTTTCATGTGACGTCTGCAGGATGACTCGGCGTCTGCTGTGGGAAGGACAAAAAATACAATAATGGTTAATCTGGGGCCTCTTGAGGCGTGCTGCGCTGGCTCGGCACGGTTCTGTGCAGCTCGGTTTCACCGTGGATAAGGGGTAAACGTGAGTTAGGCTCGCACCAGGGGTCGGCAACCAAAATAACAAGAAGATACATTGTTTTTTCCAATTCGGCTAAAATAAACCAACTCAATATTTAAAGAGCCTCCGTAATGCGTTGTGGTGAATACGAGACGGTGGTGGTCCTTAATAAATAACTGTCACGTAGCATAAGTGCTTAAAAAGAGCCGCATGCTGCTCCGCAGCTGCAGGTTTCTGACCCCGGCCCACGGTAAACTGGACTTCCATTGTAAATTGGACTTCCATGATAAACTGGACTCCCATGGTAAACTGGACTTCCATGGTAAACTGGACTTCCATGGTAAACTGAACTCCCATGGTAAACTGGAATTCCAAGGTAAACTGGACTATCATGGTAAACTGGACTCCCATGGTAAACTGAACTCCCATGGTAAACTGGACTTCCATGGTAAACTGGACTCCCATTGTCAACTGGACTGCCATGGTAAACTGGACCCCCATGGTAAACTGAACTCCCATGATCAGGGGCTGGCAACCAAAATAACAATAATAGCCATATATTATTTCGAATTTTGAAAAAACCCCTCAATATTTCAAGAGCCGCACTGCAGTCCTTACAGAGCCGCACACCGCTGACCCCTGGGCAAGCAACAAAGGTCGTCATCGCGGAACCTTCCACACAACACTGAAATCAGTTTGGTTACGTGAATTGCACCCCTGATATCCGTGTTACGCCGCCCACACTTCCCAGCCTCTGCATTATAAATACGCATCACCACTACCGTGTCAGCCGCTCTGATCATTCTGTAATAACAGCCATAGAGGGTTCACGTGGGGATTGGCTTGCCGGTCCTGCTCGTAGCCAATAAGGGTTGAGATTGGGACCATGGCCCATGCGTCATCACGACAGATCATCAGAAGTGATTGGCCTAGCCATTCGGGGCCCCAGCTAATGGGGAGCCGGATGAGGGGCGTGGTCCCGGGATTGACAGGGAACCATCGAGAAGGGTCGAAGCTGTCCATACACGATTGGCTGGGGGAACCACGTGACGAAGGTCTTAAGAGCGAGCGAGAGGGAACGATCGCGAGCAGACTGAAACTAACAAGAGCAGGGTCACGCGCGGACGGGGCCTCGGGTTGCCACGTGCGCGAAGGGGACTTCGTGCGTAGTCTGTCCTCTCTCCGTTGTCTGCCAGCAACGGAGAGTGAGTGAGGAAAGTGTATGGTGGAGTGGAAATAAAAAGGACTGATTCCGAAGCCGTCTCCTGGAAGATTATTACATTGGTGTCAGAAGTAATTCTGCGACTGTTTGGACGATCGTCAAGATGTCTAAGCACCTCAGAAAAAGAACCTGCCCGTGCCTCTGTCGGAGGAAGAGGTCGAGACGGATGAAGATGAGCTGTTGGGAGCTACAGCCCTGGTGCCGCCGGCTGACGACGCTCGCCTCGACGCCTCTCAGCGTCGACCGGGGGAGGACGCGACCACCGCAGGACCGAGAGACGAATGGCGGCTGATGGCGGAGCAGATTGAGTCGTTGCGCGCAATTCTGCTGAGCTTGGTGACCGCGGTGGCGTCCTCACCAGCCGTGGGTCGCCAGATCGCCGATCAGCTGGACGCTGCGGGAAGGGGTCCTGCTATGGAAGCAGGACCCGCCATTGCTCCTGCCACGCGGAAGGACGTCGTCGTCTTGGGAGGGGCGGCTGCGCCGGAGTCGTCGGCCGCCATTTTGGGCGCGCCTACCACCACGCGGCCGCCGGACGCCATTTTGTCTGCACCGAGCGGAGAGCGGGAACGGCGGCCGGAGACGCCCGCGGCACGCGCCTGCCACCGCGGGCATCGCCTTTCACAAATAAAATAATTTTTCGCCGGGGGCGATTGGAGTGCTTTCACGTGGCGTTTCGAGTCAGCTTTCAGATCTGTCAACTGGACGGAGGAAGAAGCGCTGGGTGCGCTGCCTACGCTGCTCGATGATGTGTCTCTAGGAGTCTTCCGCTCCATCCCGGCGTCCAAGAAGAAGACACTGCGGGATGCGTTCACTGAGATGGCGGAATTTTACGACCCGCCGACATCGGCCACCAGAAAATTTATGTCGCGTCGCCGGGCACCGGAGGAATCGCCGTTGGCCTATCGGGGGGCGTTGATGGCGATGG